AATCGACACATGTCATATATGTCAGAGATATCGCTGTGCTTCCGCGGAAATATGCGATTTATGGCATGTTGTCATCCCCCTGCAGCCTGGGGGTTGCCTCGTGCCTGTTTTCTCGACCCCCCCTCCTTCCACAAATTTGCTTGCGCGATAAATTTGCAGTTCTACAAAATATTTCCAGCACTTCTGTTCAAACCTTATCAGACTGGTGCAAATCTTGCTTTAGTAACGTGATTAGATAGGGGGCTAAAATTTTAGCTGAGTCTATTCAGTCAGTGATAATTAGCACTGGTCCCGACCTGAGCGAACTTTTTTTTCCTGCGTGAGACTCGTATGACGGCTCGGCGGGGGTTTGCCTTTTCCCCTCGGGCTGCCATTAGGTCGGGGCCCTTTATCAGTTTGGAATAACATCGACTCTGGATTCAACGAACAGGGGAAGGTGCTGGGCCATCAATGACCTGCCGTCAAGAGTTCACTATGGTGAAAAGTGAGAAGGGCGTAAGTCCTCGGACTTCCCTCACGCCCTTTTCACTTTTTACCTCGTGCTCGGAGGTTTGTTCGCTCTGCTCGCACACGCTTGAAGTTATTTCACAGGCGCTAGTGAACTGTGATGTGCGGCGGCGTAATGAATGCCGGTGGCGGCGGAGGAATATTCAAGTCCCTCCCCCTCCTCTCTCCCTCCTCTCCCCCTCCCCGCTCCCCCCACTCGTGACCCGCGGGTCAGCCGGGCAGGCCGATAACTCGGCGCGCTCTGGTCCGAGTGAGGGAAGGGCGAAGGGCCTTCTGTCTGCGTCCGTCCGTCCCTCTGTCTGTCCGACCCGGGCCGGGCACAGCTCTGCTGATCTTCTCTACCCCCTACGGTTTGCCATTTGCTGATGCTAAACGCTGAATAACGGGTTTAAAAATTCTGTAGCAAAACGCACTTCCGGTCGTAGTGTATTGGCGGGAGACTCCGTGCGTCGTGCTCGTGCTCCTAACTTCGATAATCCCTTGGCCGTCGCTTTCCCTCTCTTCGCCCTCTTCGCGACTTTTCTGCCTACGAGTCACTGCAAAAACAATATTGTAAAATTACGAGACAAAAATTAACAAAAATAAATTAAAACAAAGTTTTATTTTGTAGTTGAATGATGAATGCAAATGCAAATTAGATAATTCGTTGACCAAAATGTTCTGTGAGTGGACAGAATAATACAAGTGCGTTAGCAAATCCAAGAGTCAGTCATGTAGAACTACAAGAATACTGTGTTATTTAACACGTTTAATAAGACTACGAATGATTTCTCGT